GATCCGTCAAAAGGGCTCTGCCCCAGAGGGTTTTAAGTGGGCCAATGTCAGACTTTTTGATCTACAATGTTTACAAATAAATATAATTTAAAATCAGATGTTTACTTTCACCAACTGTTTTGTAGGCTTGAATAATCACATCATTCTGTATTAGCATTAGTCATGATTTGAAATAGTGCCACAGTGTTTCTACAGATTGCAGCACAGAAAACTATTTTACTTTTTAATAAGTCCAAAGTATTAAACCCCAATCGCAGCACACCTGTGCACTCAACAACGTTTAAATTCTCCAATGTTAAATATTAAAACATAAAAACCTTTATCAAAGTATTATAAACAATAAAAGAGCAGAGTGCAACCAAAAGCTGAGTGAGCGTAGCGAACGAACATCGACCTGGAGGCGAGTAAGCGTAGCGAACGAGCTAACCTGAAAACAAGTGAGCGCAGCGAACGATTTCCAACCTGAAGGTGAGTGAGCGTGGCGAACGAACTTCAACCAGGACGTGATTGAGCCATGTGAATACTTATGAAGTTAAGCGGGGCAAAGCCCGCGGGTACAGCTAATAATTAATACTAATATTATTGGGAAGATCATATATTGTATTTGTAAATCATTGTAGGAATAAATTAATTTTCACTAAACAGGCCTACACTGGTTGTGAGTTAAACTGCGTTAGTTTAAAATGTTGCTTACTTGCCTATTTTTTTATACCAGATACAAAATTAATCATTTTGGTTAATTATCCTTAAATTTAATATTGATTCTATTTGTTTTGACATTTTTCAGAGAGAAAAAACCTGCCACTGTGGACAGTGGGGAAGAAGTTCCACTCAATGGGGATGAAGATCTTGTTGAATAGATAACTTACTCTGTATTATTAAAGTAATTGTAAAATGAGGAATTTTTGAGGGAATTGTTTGTTGAAAGTTAAAGATACGAGGCATTTTCAAATGTAAATGTGTTATGTAAATCTTCAATATAAATCTGTTTAGACAAATTATCTCTTGTGTTTAATTTTTAATTTCAAAGAATTCTGAATTCTACGTACTGAATAGTAATAATATGTAAAATTGTAGGGTTGAAAACTATAATAACTCATGTTTTCCTGCTCTTTTATAAAAACAAGTTTTTAGATGGTATCTCGCTTTTTTATTTAGAGAAGTGTCTTGGCATTTAACAACTAGAGGCATTGAAGTTATTAGATTATGTTGTGATTGTGAAAAATTATCTGAAATATTGGAAGATTATATTGTGCTATGCATCTCAACCTGAAAAATATGAAATTCTTATTACATGTGTTAAGACTGTGTGAATCCTGGTAAAAGCATATGAATTAAATTTTCAGAAATAAAAAAGAGCTTGTAAGTAGCTAAAAAAGAATTATTTCTTGTACTCTTCAATTTATATTCAAATTAGATGTTTAAATTTGTATTCAAATTAGATATTTCAAGTTTTATTAAAATTGGATCTTTCAAGTTTTATTAAAATTGAATCTTTCAAGTTTTATTCAAACTGGAAGAGCGGGAACTTCGACGCATGATTTTAACTTGAATCAAGTTTACAAACCCGATCCTTCAAGTTTGCAGATTTGACAAACCAAACTTATTTCAAGCTTGAATCAAGTATTTTTTCAATTTATATTTAGATTAGATAGTTCAAGTGTTATTCAAATTAGATGTTTCAATTTTTATTCAAATTAGAAATTTCAAGTTTTATTCAAATTAGATGTTACAAGTTTTATTCAAACTGGAAGAGCGGGAACTTCGACGCATGATATTAACTTGAATCAAGTTTACGGACCCATCCGAGCAAACTTGTTTCAAGTTTGCAGATTTGACAAATCAAACTTGTTTCAAGCTTTAATCAAGTATTTTTTGCTATCTGGGAGACGCCTGATTTTTTTAGCTTTTGGCTAAAGATATAAACCAATCATATCTTAGTACCTTGTGTAATAAGATAAACCAGTAAACATAAAGGATATTTTATGACATTCATGTGGAGGGATAAAAAGGACTTTTTTGGCCAGGTGTGCGAGATCTTTGTTTTATTCCAGTGAAGACTGAATTAGACCTTTACTTATATATAGATATTTTAAAATTCTTCTCCAATGTGTCATATGAAATAGCTGGACCCATTTTGTTTTCAACTTTGTTTTGAGTGTATATTTATAAGTTACTCTAAATAAAATAGTTGGATTTCATGTATGAAAGGTTATTCAATAGTAACACGCAAAGAAACTGCCTCTTTAATGTCAATTTCTAAAATCAGCAAAAATAAGCGCATCAACCATGAATTTTTGTTTAACTGCCCATGAAAACCATGAATTCTGCATTAATTTGTTGTTCCCACTATGGTGGCAACCCCGACAAAGTACGAAGTCTTAGGATTTGTATCAAACAGTTGAAAACTTAGCGGTGCTGGTTAGGTTCTTACGACTGGCGCTTCGACGGGCGACGCTGTGCAGATGCTTTTAAGGAGCCTACATTGGGCAATCTGTATATGGCCCTTCTGGCTCCTCTAACTCTGAGCAATATTTTTTTATTTAAGAACCTTTCAGGTGGCTGCCCCATTGTAAATATCATGTAGCAAGTAGTTTTTTATGTTGCCACATTTTACCATTTTAGCCATGCCGTTGAAATTTCCGTCGACATTCTTTACTTTACACTCATTACTTATATTCGTTCTTTTACATTAAAATGTACAGGGTGGTCATAAATTATTGGACACATTTTAAGATTACATAAACCAATAACCAAGCAACTTAGAAACTTGGGAATTGTTTTATTAAATGGCAAATTTAAAATAGTTTTATACAGTAACTGCAAAACAATAATTACATGAATGTCAATAATTATAAAAAGTGGTTATAAAAAATGTTCAAAAATCACTCAAACAGTGTGTGTAAGTTTTTTTTCCTCAATGACTCGTGTTGTGGCATAGTCAGCATGGATAGCAAAACCAACAATGGACCTTTCTACACCAGCTGTGTATGATATTTGGCGAATCAAACCTTAAACTGACTTAAAAGTAACAATTTTACTAGGGTTCAATAAAAAGCAAAGTCTTTGGTTTCATGAAAGTAAATCTGCAATAACTGTTCGAAGAAGGTTTTGTTTAGAGTATAGCCGTAATTCTCCGTGTAAAAATTTTATAAAATGGTGGTACAGCCTGTTCAAGCGACTGGGACTGGGAAGTGTCCAACATATAGTCTAGAGGGTCCTCATCTCAAAAGAACATAAATTACAAAAACAGTTTAGGTGATTTTTACTGTCTTTTTATAACTACTTTTCATAATTTCTGACATTATAATAATACATTTTTTGCAGTTACTGTATAAAACTGTTTTAAATTTGCTATTTAATGAACAGTATGGTTCATTGACCTGTCAGTGGCAATGAGAGGTTATAAATGAAAACATATCCTCTCTTAGAAGTTATGAGTAGTGTAGTGATTTTTAGTAATTAAAAAACTGTCATAGGTAATTAGCTTTTTACGACACTTGTCAAATACTCGTGTCATTAAGACCATCCTTACACAATCGTTGCGTAAACTACCTGCTGTTGTAAACAATAGCTGTTCAGGCTCTTCCTTCCTTGCTCGGTACTAGTATAGTTCCGCCCCACCACTCCAGAGCTAAAAGCATATGGTTGTTCCAAAAGCATGTTTCCTCTGTATCCTATTTCTCTGTGGCAGAGCGTATACACGGCTAAAATACAGAGTGGCTAAGGGGACGCATATTATTTAGCTTCGGTGTCGCTACACCGGTCTGAAATGGACCATTAACATTAGAAACAGAGGCGTCACGTGAATCATAGATTGGGGGGGGGGGGGGGGCACAATCAGTACACCATCCTACCAGGTGGTCTGGGGAGTTTAGAATACCTCCATAACACTTTTGGTATGAAAGTCTTGTAAGTAGAGTAACCACTTTAGAACGTAAAAAGGATATTAAAAATACAAAATGGCAGATATCTTGACAGTGAAGCGGTTTTGGAAAAAATCTCATTCTTTACTTTCTATTCAAATTTGTTGTCTATTGTCACACGTCCTAAAACGTTGACTCTGCTAATGCTGTTTAAGTACATTCAAATGCAGGAATATAAATCATATTTATGTTAATTAATTATTGTTATTTTTACCTTTGTCTTGAAGATGGAAGGACTCCACCACAGAGTCCTCATGGACTAGCCACCACTGAAGACATCCTCGTTGACTTCCTGTTGTTAGCAGTCAGAAATACACTTTTACCCTATAGGGAATACAGTATTTAGCCAATTTCTCACATAGGGAATAAGCTATTATTACTGTAGGTCTCATGGTAATACTAGCTCCCAAATGCTTTACTTTTTTATTTCAATGTCCCCAGAGGCTAAAAACACCATCTGTTCTAACTCATAAGTGAATTCATATATCCACTCGAGCACAAATTATCAAATTTTAGTGATATTTTGTACAAACGTGTGAACCTACTCTTATTTCAAGAGTTATTGAACCATCAACTCTTGGAACGTGTTTTCATGGGGTAAAAATTGACCTTTCTCATTTTTTACCCATAAAACAATTTAATATGCCATGTTGATGCGCTTTGTGGTTACAGATATATTCCAAAAAACTGTAAATTAAAAAAAAAATTGTTGTAGTTTGCTTGTTTGTGAACATATTTTGATCTAATTTGGAAAATTTATTTATTCAAGCTATGAAAAAATTGCATCCTTATATGTAGCATCAAATTTAAGTACTGTAATCATTAAACTTAATTTTATCCAAATAGGGAATACATGTGACATTTTAAAGGAGATATTTTAATTTGGGTTAAATTAGGCGAATGGGAATTGTCATAAGGCTGTAGGTTTGCTGCAGCGAGGGTATTTGTTGGAAATAGAGGGACTGGTAAAGCTGAGGCCGAATATGAGGGATTCTATTACCCAATACTCAAAACTAAAAGCTATTGTATATTGTTTTTCTGAATGAGTATAGGAATAAGTTTAGTCAAATGACATGATGTAAAAAACCTTGTTTAATAAACAACGTTAAAAGAGAATCTTATGTACAATAATTATATAAATATCACATAAATCTTCATGAATTGACCATGAGCATCTGCCTTTCATTGATCTCAACAGTCATACCATAGGGCAAAAATTTAAGTAACATAGAAAAACAAAGTAGTGGAGAAAATTTTCTCGAAAAGAGTTAGATTTTTAAACTCACAGTGTAAATACATTCAGTTTTCAGATCACATATATTTTGTATTAAAGAAACAAAATCTGGGAATGCAACAAACTTTTATAAGAAAACATGCAAGAGTGTACGATAATAAAAAGGAATGGCTTGAGTAGATTATTTTATAGTCAATAGTTCATGATCAAAGTAAAAAGTTCTACATTATATGGTGAGTATATTTAATTTAAAAAACGATTAGGGTGTTAATCAGTTTTAATTCCTGTGACAACTTTGGTTGGATATATTTCTTTTCCTTTCGTCAGAAAAAGAATTAAGGATAACATTGACCCAAAGCCAGAGATCAAGAACGCTAAGTAAGTTATTGATAATGTTGCACTTAAGTAAGAGAAAAATTCAAAAACAAAAGGACTAGCTAAACTTGCAATTGTAGCAATTGAATTTTCTAAACCTATAATAGAAGCTCTATTATTTAAATTGGGATGGCTTAGTAAAGCTTCAGTAAGATAAATTCTCAATAAACTCGAGCTACAGCTTAGAGGAATCAAACTAATAACAAAGGTCACACATTCTGAAACAAAATCGATGAGAAAAAATGAGCTGGATAGTAGTAAAAAACAGATACTTAACTTAAAATAATATTCCCTACACAAATACAGATCTGATATTTTACTAGCAAATAAACCAGTAATAATACAAATAAGCCCTTGGAATGAATTGGTATACCCCACCATACTATGAGGCATCATTAGATATTCGACAACCATAACATGATAATTTGTGTAGAACAATGACAGTGAAAAACACAGGATTAGTTTTAGCAATAATGTATCCCAAAAAGTAAGAAAATTTTCACAATCTTTCACTTGATACACTTTTACTACATTTTCACTTGTCTTTGAGCTATCATGTACCACCCGATTTTCCTTTGGAAGAACTAAATACACTATAAAGGAATTAAAAACAAATAAAGTCGCAGTCATTTTACACAAGTATCGAAAACCATCTTCCCTCCCTATAAAGTGACCCCCGATCACTGGACCTAACATGAATCCCAAGGCTTCAGCTGCACTGAATCCCCCAAACCCTACGTTTTTATTTAAAATATCATTGTGCAGTAAAAAAGCCGCTTTACAAATTGTCTGTGTGTGTTTAGCGAGACCAAGAATTACTCTGCAGATGAAAATTACTAAAACAGACGAAGTGGTCGCTATAGAGTAATATGCCAGTGAGCACAGGAGAAGTGACGTGATAAGAGTACATTTCTGTCCGTATTTCTGTGAATAAAAGCCTATAGCGGGGCTAGAAAACAACTGCACTGAAGGGTATACAGACGTAATCACCCCGACCACTAGCCTGGGCAGGCCGTAGGAGGCAAGATGCAACGGCAGGAAGGGTACGAGTAGACTGGTGGCCAGTAGGTCCAGGAACGTTGCTATGTACAGCCAGTACAACTTCCCCATGGAGAAAACAGTTATAGTTCCTCCTTGCTTTTCTGGTTTGATTTACTCTTCTTAGTTGGAGGTGCATCAGTTGATTCACCCTGAAAGCAGACAAACATTTTCATCATTGTTTTCCGATAGAACATGACTTGAACCCTTGGTTTGGAGTTCACTTTTGGTGATTGTAAGTTTATGTTATTTGGGGTTCTATTGCACAAATTTTCTATCACGATAAGTAAAAAAAAAAAAACGAATGTAAAACAAGTTCACCTACGACTGTTTTTTTAAGTAGCCGTTTCAGTTCAGTTCTTAGAATTGAAAAGATTCACTTAACAGCATTGTTTACTTTCATAACAGCATAGTTTTACTCATAACAACATGGGTAACGGACCAATGAGGTTGAAGGATTGAGAGGGAAGAAGTAAAATTGCAATGATTCAAACTTAAACTAATCAACTGTTCAGGCCAATTTAATTGTTGAGGGGTGCAATTAGTGTTCGGTACAACGTTTTGTTGCATCACTGTCAGAGTCAATAAGAGGTTATAAACGAAAACATAACCTCTCTTAGAAGTTATGAGTAATGATTTCAGTAATTAAAACACTAAGAAACTCGTGTAAATATTGTTAACAACACTTGTAGAAGTTTTGAAGGCACGAGCCGTGTCGTTAACACTATCTTTACGCGATCGTTGCGTAAACTGCTATACATTCGCACCTATTCCTACATATTGCATACCGGTACACAATGTTTACTAGCTTAAGATGTACAAAAATGTAATCGTTAGAAATAAACTAAATATGCATTTATTAGTAAAACAAAAGAGGAATTTAAAAATAAGCTAAACGACTAAACATAAAAAAATCAATGCATCTGTTAACTAGCAATACTTTTAATTTTTATTTGGTGTGGGTCAAATTTAAATAAAACTATCAAAATGTATAGCTAAACTAGTGGTAGACTATTATCCAACAAAAACTGCTGTCATTTTGAAAACTCCATAAAGACAAGAGACAATGAAAAATAGATGTTACTTCATATATACCAACACATGTAGTAAAGAAATATAGTAGATAGGCATATCATATTTTAATTAAACACAAATCATGTTGAATACTCAACAATATGAAGAAAACATACCGTAATTAGCAGGGACATGTTACATGTGTTCATGAAGAGTCAGAAATACATAGAAACAATGAGAAGTAGTTTGCCAGGTCTTAGCTGGCTTTTGGCCAAAACAGAAGCTAACTCGCTTTAACAAGCAATTTGTTATCATTTTCTTTACGATTTATAAGCAATTTTTAACTCATCGCATGTAGAGAAAGACTAGGAGTAGATTATAGAAAAAGTACACCCAATTTTAAACAATTAAACTTAATATAAAATAACAGGCGATAATTTTTCTTTTTTTTCAATGCATTGAGGAAATAACAACAGAATTACAATAATGATTGAAAACTAACTAAATATTTCAAAATAATTTAAAAGTATGATTTGAAAAAAATAAACAGCCTTTTTAATTGGTGGTAAAACTACCAAATTAAATTACAATCTAAAGTTTTCATCCTCATCAATTCCTTAATATTTAGGGCAAGTTTGTTGCTAATAATCACATTCATACAAAGTTTATGATAAGACATAATAAATACTCACTATTTATAACTACAAATTTGTTGTTGTGCAAAACATCAACACTAGTAAGTATTATATAACAAATATTTTCTTTAATCTTCCTCATTATAGAGTTAAATAGATTTACAGTATCAACAAGAAAAACTAGACTGTGATAAATATACTTACCATACCGTAAACAAACATTTATTTTACATGCAACACAACGACTATAGTTACAATCTGAAACCCACTGAGGCAAGGGAGAAACTTTGCTGGGAACTAATATTCCTTTGTTTGCCACTATGTTTAATCTTAACTGCTCTAGGGCGAAATAGAAAGTAACTCTTACATAAGCTCCTACTTTGCTACTTAAAACTTTGCTAATTAGGCTCCTACATTTACGTTTAATTGTGTTGTTTATCTGTGTTTGAAAATACACTGCTTGTGCTTGTACTAATATTCCTGTGTAGAACTCTTGTATATTTTCAAACACAAGAAACGTTGAAAAAATCAGAAAAGAATAGTAGGAACATTTTAGAAACAACTTCATAATGAATTTTAAAAAGTAATGGTTAAAACGTAGAAAATTAAAAAAAAATACTTTTAAAATTCTCATGTTATTTTTATGGAGAAAAAGAAACTGTTGTAGTTTGCTTGTTTATGGATCTATGTTAATCAAATTTAAAAATACAATCAGACGGATGGAGATTTGCTTAGTCTGCAGGTTTTCTGCAGCGGGCCCCAGGGGGTATTTATTAATACAGTAAAACATAAGAAATCAAATTCTCAATACTTAGCTCTAAATAAAACAAAACAATTTAATAAAAATTGACACATGACCACAGAATTTTCAGAATTAAGTAATCTCTGCAGCAACACATTTTAACATGACAAATCATCCAAAAAATTGAAATGATCTATACAAGTTTTAACAAATTTCCCTGACTTTACACACTATTTTCAAAATTTCCCCTGACTTGCGGCCTTTTTTTTTAAACTTTCCCTGACCTTCCCTTACCCTAGACCTGTTTCCCTGACCTTCCAGGTCTGTGTGGACCCTTCAAATCAGACCATAGGTTTGGTTTGTAGCTCTGTAGAGATCCACACACAGGAGGCAACACTTCTGGCCTAGTTACCGCCATTGGTTCAGCACAGTATTTTACTTGGTGTAGATTCGATTTGATCTCGAGTCAAACTACTAAAACTAAAACACAGGCTAATACCATACATCAAAATACTGTGATAAAAGCAAAGTAGGCACCCCTGAGAAAGTGTTTAGGTAACAAGTTTCGTAAATGCCTCAACAAGCAAATTACCCTATTTAACCTAGTACAGACAGATTGGATATGTGGGTTCCAGTTTAAAGTTGAGTCTAGAACAATGCCTACAAGTTTTGCATGGCCCATGGTACAGTGTTCAAAGCTGGGGGTAACTTTACACAAAGAGAAAAGCAAACTTTGAGTTTTATTATTGTTAAGTGACAAACCGTTTGAATTAATTCCCAGATCCATGGCAGTAGCTAGGGACCGGCCGACTTGGTTGGTGATGTCAGTCACCGAAGAGGTGAAATAGGAGTTGAAGTTCCCCGCCATTAGTGAGCAGTCATCTTGACGTCCAGACACCTGCCGTTGTGCATTTATGAGTTCCCATGCCTTCTTCACTTTATTTGGAGCTGCATCGATGAGTTTGCCGTTAGCCTCAATTTTGGCTAGATGAAGAGCTTTTTTATACCTTGATTTGGCTACGGAATATCTATTCTTCATTTCCTCTACATATGAGTTGTATCGTAGTGCCCACTGCAACTTGCTGTGTAAGCTGTCAACTTCTTTCTTCATTTCAAGGAGTTCACGACTAAACCAATTTACACTGATACTGATACATTTGGATTTTTCTTATTTATGGTTTTATAAGGAAAGCATATCCTCATACCATCAATAAAAATGTCCATAAACTTGTCAAAGTAGCCTGATTCGGCAAATGGTAACTCGGCATCCCAATTTACATTGTTTAAAAAACTTAAGAACTTATCAGTATTTTTTTCACCCAACATAGACTACAGATCTGTGCGTCGAACTTATCCAGCAATGCATGGGGTGAGCCGGTACAGTACAAAGGTGATCTGTACTGATAAAATGTTGGCGGCAGTGACCAGGATCCGAACCCACGACATCGCTGCCTTGAGCCCAAAGTCTGTGACGCTACCAACTGAGCCACTGACTCACCTAAATATAAAACCTAACCTAAATTTACGTAGTTGTCACACAATGTGAGCAGACGGCAAGCATCTACGCAATGTAGGCAATAGTTGTATTAAATGTGTTATCGAAGGAATGTTAAATATAAATAGGTCTGCAGTATTATTGTGTAAGTATGTTGTTTCATAATACTACCTTGTTACTTTTTTTGTTTTAGTTTAATAGTGAATTAAAACATAATCAAACGTAAAAAAACAACTAATAAATATAAATGAAATGGGGACATGATCAACTTGCAGGTAATCATGCAAAACACAGTTACTCTAATAGCTGAGAACAGTCAGCTACGAGGTTAGAACTGCACTACACTGTCCTCAGAAAGGAGTGGCTCATTTGTCATAATCCCATCTTTTACAATTCTCTTTACATTGAATAACAGTGTAGTAAGTTCAGATATCAACATTTTGCTACAATACGTTGAATAACATCAAAGTTTGTAACAGGAACAGGATTATTGCAGACATTCTAGAACATTTGTAATTCATATTATTATTGACTTTTGACGTTTGGTATTTCCCTCATTGTCTTTATAATTCACCATAACCTCCAGTTTATCATTCTCGTCTATTGAAAGTGAACAGCTGACAACTATGTCTTTGTACTAAAGGGGAGTCGCTACTGAAAAATTACCAATTTTGTAAAAAACATGATTTTTTTATTATTTTTTTATCTTGTTCTATGGATTGTAAGGTTTCAGGAAAACATAACATTTGGTATAATATATATATTTTTTTATCACTGTGAAAAAAAATATTTGAAGTGAAGCGTGCACACCTCTTTTGGGGCATCAACTAGGCCTAGTATCAACTTCAACCGCTGTTTTCCACGACACTAATTTTTTTTTTTTTTTTCATTATAAGTTCTTATAACTTTTTAACTATTACAGCTATATGAATTAAATTTTTACCACACACTGTTTATACTATAAATCAACTTTCTGTTCATGGATATTGTAATTGGGTAAATAAAAGTACATGAAAAAAAAATTATAAAAATTGATTACCTATAAATTTTTCTAAAACTTATTTTTGAAGCCATAACTTATAAACTAATTGAGAAAATAACATGAGTATGCACAGAAAATTTGTGCTTTCTTTGCTCTTTAAAATGAGATATCAAACAATAAAATTGGTTCAGTAGTTAAATAGTTATAAGAGATTTAAAAACCCCCATTTTTTTCCCGCATTAAACTTTAAAAACTCCAAAAAGTATGTTGTAAACTAGTGGGGTTTTGCTCTTACTTTAAATGTGAAAAATACAAAATTATTACTAAGCTCAGTATACTCGCTTGGCATATGTGAGAATACTCAGGAACTGATTGAACTGACACCATTGTATGAGTTACTAAATTTTATTTGACCACTCACTCTAATCTACAACCCTTTAAAACACAATACATTTATATAATAATCAATAAATCAAATGACGTATTTACCAAAGGAATTAAATATTTTGGGGCCCCAGTATCAAAATAAGAGAATTGAACACGTATATAAGTTTAAAAGTGATAGATATAATACATATGTAAAACGACTCGATCTTAATTAATTAAACCCTTTTCCAAAAAATATAGATATTCATAAAATGTTATTAATCTACATCTTGCCATTTGGCCAAAGTCCAGTTCACAAAACTTAAAACACAAGGCTAATATGAAATTCTATAAAATTAATACACTTAACAAACAAAGACTATTCACATTTAGCAAGCTACCAAATATACACGTTTGAAAATAAAATACTAAATGAGAACTTACTTAGGCTATTTCAAAAACATTATTTTACAGGTTTAACCTTTAAGGCTATTTTGTTGTTGTTTTTATTTAGCAGGAAATAATATTTTATTATTATTTATGATTTATATCATCGATTATTTAGGTTTTAAATTTTTATTTTTAAGTTAGGTTTAGTTTGAATGAATTGTAGTTATTTAACTTAGGCCCTTTTTTGTGTAATTTAAATTTATCTACTTTCTTCTAAAATTTGTTGTCCTGGGAATTATAATTGAATTTTGACATACCGAGGAGAAGATCTTGAGGGTAGATGAATTCCCCGAGGTGACGTCTCGTGATGTCCAGGCCTCCCCTTGTCTCCGTTGGCAGATGACTCGGTGGTTGATCCTGGTCCTCGATGGTGGATGACGACCCCCTGGAACCTCTTCTCTCGGCGTGGGCTGAGTAGGTGAAGTAGTTTGGCCTAGGACGTATTCAGGTGGCAGATTTTACCAATCCTGATATATTAAGTGGGGTCTACTCGATCCGACCCCGTCCTAAGCCTCGCAAATCTTCTTCCAGACTGATGCCATCTTGCTCCTCCTGTCCCTTCCTTTTTCCAGATTTTCCATCATTCTAATTAACC